CCACTTCCTTTCCCCCACTTCCCCCTCTCCCATGGTCCCCGGAACCCTCGGTCCTGTTGTTTTCTCCTCCAGATTGTGATCCCGCCTGTTTTATCTAGATAGACCTGCAGAGATAATAATATTTGAAAAAACAAGACAGAGCAAAATAAAGCAACAAAAGAAAACACAACAACAACAAAATGAAAATCCTGTAAATAGTTCAAGGTCTGTTTCTTGACCTTTAGAAGTGTTGTCCGGTCAAGTCCGATGGGCTACCTTGCCTTGGACCCAAAGTCTATTTTTGGTACTCCCTCAGGACTTCCTTGCTCTGCTCCCCTTGCTGTTCTGTTGCACACCCTTAGTGTTCTGCCTCGGTGTGTGGTGGGGTCAGATTGGGCGCAGTTCCCACACTGTGTCTCCAGTGTTGTCCCCCGTAGGGCTATGGGTCAGTGAGGGATGTCATGGCTCATAGTGGGGCTGGCCATATGGTCTTCTCTGTGCATTGGCTGCTCTGCAGGGATATCGTCCTCAAGGCTTGGTGGGCCAGGATGTGCTCCACTCTGTCTTCCTCCCCCTTCATTTGCTCCTGTGTGCTCTGATCAGATATGTCCCTCTCCCTGAACTGTAGCTTTAGTGCTGTCATCTGAAGTAAATTCTTCTGGGGGGTGGGGTGGCTGTCCACCTAGTTGGGATTGGGGCTGGTCCCTCAGACCTCTCTACTGGTTCCCTGTTTTGTGCCGGTATGTTGCATTCACATCTTGGAGCACCGGACCATGATCATTTAAAAAATATTTACTTTCTATTTGAGCCTATGGTATCAGCTCCTCTTTTTTCCTCCCTTTCCTCCCTCCCCCCGTGACCCCTTGATCAATTATAAATTATTATTATTTTCATATCTTACACTGACTGCTGTCTACCTCCCCCACCCCCTCCCCTGGTTTCGCTTGTTCTGTCTCCGGGAGGGTGGTGGTGGTGATGTATTGATCATTGTGACTGGTTCCCCCTTCCTCCCCTCCTCTCCCCACTTTCTCCCTACTCTTCTGGTATTGCTACTCCCATTCTTATTCCTGGATTCCGTGTGTCATGAGCTTTTATCTCTTATCTATTCCTGTGTACATGCTCTAGTCTAGCCCACAGTGAAAGGCAGAACTGGGGTCATGATAGTGGGGGGTGAGGAAGCCTCAAGGAACCAGAGGAATATTGTGTGTTTCTTCAGTGATACACTGCACCCTGCTTAACTCATCCCTTCCTGGTGACCCCTCTGTGAGGGGATGTCCCGTTGTCTACAGAATCTTAAGTGGTTGATGATTTCAACCTGAGGGCAAGTTCAGTTGCTGACCTGAAGATTGACTAAGGCCCATAGTTTTGACCGTTCCACCAGTCTCTATCCGACTGGTTTTTCTTATGATTTTGGGTTTTGCATCCCATTTTTCTCCCATTCTACCCAGGACCTTCTAATAGAATCCTTTTCAGAGCAGTGGGTAGTGGTAGCCAGGCACCATCTAGTTTTCTTGGTGTCAGGGTCATGGAAACGGACGCTCTCACATGGTCCATTAGACTCAATGTTTCCACATGTCTTTCGATTTTCAGCAATCTTCCTGCAGCCACCTTTATAGGTGTCAACATAAAACTTTCCACCTTTAGGAAACTCAAATGAAACACCATGAAAATTCTCTTAGGATTCTGTGAGATCATGTATATTTTTACACCCTGTTCCCTCCTCCCTGACTAGATGATTCCTATTGGTAGGTCTGCCTATTGTCCACCCAATGCTGGTGAGGCCATTCCGAATCAGGCCAAAGAAGAACTGCCCCAGAGGGTTTCCAAGGCTGCAATCCTTACGGAAGCAGACAGCCCCATTTTTCTCCCTCTATAGTCGCAGTTCTCAACCTGTGGGTCGCGACCCCTTTGGGGGTTGAACAACCCTTTCACAGGGGTCGCCCGATTCATACCAGTAGCAAAATAACAGTGATGAAGTAACAATGAAAACAATGTTATGGTTGGGGGGTCACCACAACATGAGGACCTGTATGAAAGGGTCGCGGCAGTAGGAAGGTTGAGAACCACTGCTCTATAGTCCTACTTTTTGATCCTGTTCAGGGGATGGATCGTCATTCTTCCCATTGATCAATGCTGCAGGGAACTTTCTGGTTCATACCTTTTGGTGGATTTTGCAACGCTGACATCCAGTTCCTAGCAATGGGCATGCTAGGTCAAAAGTGGTTGCTGCTCTTGTGTCTGCTCAGCTCGTGGCAAACCCGAGTGTGCAGAGTGGAACCGTTCCATAGGGTTCTCAGGGCTGTGGCCTTTATGCATGTACATTTAGAGGCAGTTTGAAAAATTGTTTGGGATCCATTTCCTTGGGTCCAGTAGGAAGGCAGACATGAACTTGTGTGTGGACTTGTCCCCCTTTCCCCACTTCTGAGCTCTCGAGCAACCTCTCAAGTCTTGAGTAATTGAGAAGGCCGTGAGCCTTGGGGAAGTGGTCCTTACCTCTAACACCTCCTCTTCTGGCCTGCAGGTGGATGGCAGTGCCCCCGGGGGGAAGGAGTTCCTACCAACAACCCCCTCCATCACCACGGAGACCATATCAACCACCATGGTAAGCAGGCCCAGGAGGCCTCCCCCTTTGCTCAGCCCTCTCTTCCTCCAAACAGATAACAGGCTGACTTCACCCTGGAGCTTCAGGGAGGCCTTATTCGTCCTCGAGGCCTGGGATAGACAGTCAGATTCTTACTGTGTGGCACACTAGTTGACTTAGGAACTTCAGTCAGACCACAGTTTCTCAAGAGAATCTCGTGGAAGGTGTGATCTGGACCATCTCAGTTGAAGTGGGGGGAGGTGGTCAGGGGCCGGATGGCATTGTATGACTATCGCTAACCATGGGGACTATGCAGACTAGTCTCACAGGATCTGTAGGTGAGCCCAGAAGACCCTCCCCCAAGACCCTCCCCTGCACCCCTCCCTGCTCTGCACCTCTGTCTCCGGCCACTTTCTCACCTTGGTCGGTAGATGGCGTACAGTGAACCGCAGTTGGAAATTCAGGCTTTTGTGGAGCTAGTGATTCTGCTACCTGTATGCTCTCTGACCCAGGAAGAAGGCCCTCTTCGCCGTAGGCCTCTGGTTCCTCATCAGTAAAATGGGAGTCATCCCCAGCCTTGCCTGGTTCCCAGGTGTTGTGAGACTCCAGTATAAAATAAGGTCATTTGATGATGAGCAGAGTGTCTGAGGTCGGGGAGCCAGGGTACCTGGCAGTGTGCTGAGCACTGGGAACAAACAGACAGTCTGGCTGAATCCTCACCCTGAGGACCTAGCCTTCAGCTGTGAGGTGATGCTAACTTTACAGATGATGAAGCTGGAGCTCAGAAAGGCAGAGTGACTGGCCCAAGGAATCCCCCCTCTCCATATCAGTCCTGACCTCAGTGAATGTCAGCCGGGTGGGGTGACACCAGACAAAGGCTAGGCGGGGTCGGAGTTGCTGGCAGTTGACATCAAATTCTCCTGCCAAATCCCCAATCTATGCATAGGAGGAGAATGTGACCAGTTGAGACTACCTAGCAAGTAGGCTGTGAATGAACCAAGATTTTAAACAAGCCCAAGCCCCTCACCTGCTGGCACCTTTCCCCAGGAGCACTTGGTTCCACCTCTCCCTCCAGCTCTTACCCGACGAGGCAACCGGCATGCACAGGGTGACATGTAAATCCATTCCTATGGTGAACAGGTGGTCCATCTCATTCATGTGCTCATCTATCCATTGCCCATTCATTTGTTACAAAAACATTTCTTAGTCTCTACTCTCTGCCCGGCGGCGCAGTGGGTGAAATGCTGGCCTGCTAACCTTCAAACCCACCAGCCGCTCCATGGGAGAAAGATGAGGCTGTCTGCCCCCCAAAGATCTCTAGGCTCAGACGTTCTGTGGAGCAGCTCTCCTCTTTCCCACAGGGGGCTTGGAGTCGGAAGTGACTTGATGGCAGGGTGTTAGTCGCTCTCTGCCTGGTTTGAGGACACAGAGTTGAAGTAAAGATACTGCCTGCGAGAGTTCATTCATTCACAAAAATACTCTTTAGGGGCCCCATGAATGTGCTGCACCTATGGGCTCAAGGGCTGGGCACACAGTGGTGACTAAGGCCCACCACTTCCACTTCCTGGCTGGATGACCTGGGCTGAGTTACCTGGACCATCTCCAAGCCTCAGATGTTTATTCCTGTAAAATGGGGCCAATAGGAATACTAGCACACGCCTCCCAGGGCTTGCAGGAGGCTGAACTAAGAAGAGGTAGGCCAAGCCCTCAGCACCTGGGCTGGTAAACAGCCACGTGAGTGTGAGCTGCTGGTATGCTTCTGCTGCGTCTGGGGACCTCAGCAGCATGTGAGCGGAGGTGGCTATGGGGAGAGGAATGGGAGAAGGCTTCCCTGCACTGTGACATTTGAGCTCTGCTTCAAGGACAGGCCCAAAGGAGAGCCTAGCCCTGGGAACACCGGTGTAAAGGCCCAGCGGCTGGCAAGGGGCAGGGTGTGTGTGAGGCAAGACCAGGCATGACCAGAGTTGGTGGGAGAAGCAAGGGGGAAGGAACTGGAAAGGAAGGCTGGGCCAGGGCTTGAAGGGCCTGGAGCGTCCTGTGAGACACTGGCTCTTCACCCTAGAAACAAGGATGAGCCACTGAGTAATGTCCAGCAGGCCCGTGATGTGATAATCATATGTATGCCTGTGTTTCAGAATGATTACTCACTCGCAGCCTGTGTTGAGCATATGGACTGAGGCAAAAATTCCTTTCTTCCCTCCCTCCCTTGATCCTTCTTCTCCCTCCACAAATATTTATGGCACACCCACGACTGTGAAGTGCTGTGCCAGGCACTGTGACTCCCTCCGACACTGGAGAAGAGGGAGCTCCTGAGCTCCGGGACCCACGTGCCAGAGGGAGAGACAGCCAAGGGTACCAGGGAGCCAGCGGGTGTGGAGGCTGGTGGCCGGATTGTGAGGGGGCAGAAGGTGGAAGTGCTCACTGATAGATTCATTAGGTGACAAAAGGAATCTGGACCAGGGATGCCAGTCAGTAGCCCAGCCGTTCCGAGTGTGCTCGGGGAGTCTGTTAGAGACCCATGCTTCCAGGCCGATTGAACCAGAAACTCTAGACTGGGACCTAGAAATCTGCATTGTCACCAGCCCTTGAGAAGCATGGATCAAAGGAGCACTGGAGAAGGAGGGGCTGACCTGGTGGCAGCCATGTGTCGGGTGATAGCAGGAGGCGGACAACTCCATTTTGAATTTGTTGGGTTGTAAGGTCCCTGTGGGACATGTCCAGGGGATAGAGAATGTCTGAGACCATTGGTTTTAAAAGTCTGGGGTTCAAGAAAGATACAGACTGCATATAAAGAGCTATGGGACATCGATCCCGATGAGGCAGTGGCGAGGGTGGCAAAAGAGGAGTCTTGGGAATGAAGGAGGAAGGGAGGGTCCTGAGTGGAGCTGGTGGGTTTGCTTGGGCCAGGTAGAGGAGCCACCCCTTGAAGCACAGGAGAGGGCTGGCTGAAGAGCTAGGCGGGGCTGGGGAGAGTAGTGGGGGCTTAGTTGGAACCAACCCTGTTCCCCACTCATGGTCTGTGCTTTCAGTGTGAAGTGGAGGTGAGGCTTTATGAGTGGGAACAGGTGGCAATGGGAGAGCATAAGAGACCTATAGGGAGAAGGGCTGGAGTGGCAGTAGGGCCCAAAGGGGTCAAGGCTATTGCCTAAGCGGAGAGAAGGAAGCACTGAGCCTGGAAGAGCTGCTGCTGGGACTCTGGGTGGGTCAGAGAAAGTGCCTTGTGGCGGGGTAACCAAATAGTCAGTTTATTGACAGGCTCAAGCTAGAGGCTGGCATGGGAGGTAAGCAGAGGCAGGACCAAGGTGGGTCTTTCTGCTCACCGGCCCCTGCACAGCCTGAGGTCCAGATCTGTACTGTGCATGGACAAGGGTCAGGTTCAGTTAGCCAAGGAGAGTCCCAGACCCAGGACCCCTGGGCTGAGCCCTTCATGGTGCAGACAGGGGGCAGAAGAAGCAGGCAGCCAGGCCCCTGGCCAGAACTGGGACTAGTAGGTCCATAAACAGTCCCAGGAAGATCAAGCCAAGTCCTAGGGAGACCGAATCCAGCAGTTAGCATCCAAGGTAGGACCAGGGTAGCTGGTTCGAGAGTAAGAGTGTTGAGGGCAGAGTGGTATTACAGAAAAAGTGTATAGGTCCTGGGAATGTGACAAACATGGATATACATTTTGGCTCTGTCACTTAAAATACTACGTTGTTACAAGACTTAAATGAGAGAACACATGTAACATCTTTAGCATAATGCCTAACACATAGCAAGTACTCAGAAAACAGTAGTTCCTATTCTATCATAAGGAGCCCGCCCGGGTGTATGTGTTTGTCCTGCTGGGTTGGGTGTGTGAAGCTCCAGCTCCACCACTAGTCTCAGGAGCCTGGGGAGGCGAGCCAGGGGCCACAGAGAGGAAGTCCTTGGGCTGGAATGTGGCAGAACCCGGCAGAGAGGTGAATGCACCTCCCTAGTTAGTGCTTCCAGAGTCATCACAGTGCCACGAGGGCCAGGCTTTCATCAGGGCTTGTGTTGAATGAATTAGTGCGTGTGTGAATGAGCAGTTGACCGATGAATGAATGAGTGAATGAACAAATGAACGAGTAAGCAAGCAAGTGAATAAATAAAAGGAGGCCTAAGGGAATGGTACCTTCAGACCCCGCTTCTCATGTTCTGATTCACCCACGTGGCTGTGAGCCACGTAGCAGCCTGCTCTGGCCATCCTGGGGGGCCCGCCCCCCCTGAGACTTGGCGATTTGAGCACTATTGTTTCCTCAGGAGAACAGTCTCAAGTCCGGGAAGGGGGCAGCTGCCATGATCCCAGGCCCACAGACGGTGGCCACGGAAATCCGGTCTCTTTCTCCGGTAAGTAGGCAGGGCCAGCTCAGGCTAGGGGACTCGATGCCGAGGATGTGGGCCTTGCTCCACAGAGAGCCCACGACCGGAGTGTGAGCCTTGGAGGCTGCCCCTTTGAAGTGTGGTGCCAGGAAGCTGGATTGCTTTCAGATGCCCACAGAGCTCCCTGGTGCTCACCAGTACATTGTCTTGCCAGATGCCTTCCACAATGGCACCCCTACACACACACACACACACTCTCTCTCTCTCTCTGAAGCCAGATTGACAATGTGAGTGTAAAATGGCCCTTCGCCTGGTCACCTGTGACAGCTCTCTTTGCATCTGCTTTCCTTACTGACCTTGCTGTTCAGGAAAAGTCTGGGACTCGGAATCCAGAGGCATGACTTAGACTCACCTGGCTGCGTGAGTGGCTGCCCTCGGGACCCGGAGGCTGTCACTCTGTGGCCTTTTCCAGCACTCACATTCTGCAAGCATCCTTCTCCTGGCTCCCCCTGGAGCGAGTGAGATCTGGGCTCTGACGGCATCCGGGGTCAGGGGGCTCTTTCCATCTTGGACCCCCCAACTTGTTCATCTACGATTCTAGGGGGCTGGAATAGAGTGCTACTTAGGATTAGAATTCGGAGCCTGCTACAATCTCAGTGTCTAGGAATCTTAGATTCCAAGGCTTCAGATTTTAGGGGTCTAGGATTCTGGAGATTCCAGTGTTCTTGAATTTTTAACGTCAGCGATTCCAACCATCTTGCTATCCAACCTTCACCTTCCTGGGGCCCATCCTCTTCCCTTGGTTTACCCCACCCAGCCACACCCCTTCGGAGTCCAGCGACCTTACCTGACACCCGGGGTGGGGGTGGTTGTGTTCTGCAGATCATCGGGAAAGATGTCCTCACCAGCACCTACGGCGCCACCGCGGAAACCCTCTCCACCTCCACCACCACCCATGTTACCAAAGTGAGTAGCAGCACGGCCACCGCATCCTCCCAGCCTGGCTGCCGGGCTGGGGAAGGTCCCTTACTGTTGCTCTGCTTGTTTTGGCTTGGTGATCTGTCCCACAAGCACAGGAATCCTGTGCTGTCGCCAGCTTCCTGAGCTCTGTGCTACATGCCCTCCTAGGCCTGGGCCTACAGCTAGGTCGGGGGAACGAGGAGAGTATCATCTTTGAAGTAATGGTGAACCATGCGTTTGCACCTGATAGACCTCAAGTGCTGGGAGAATGTAAAGAGGAGCAAGGTAAACAGAGGGTCTAGGGGCTTCAGAAAAGCCAGAGAGGGTCTCCTGGGAAAAGTGGGGTTCTGAGCAGGGTCTTGGAAAGCCAGGTAGTACTTGTGAGAGAGGAGGAGAGAGATGCAGGCGTTGGAAGCCAAGCAGAAGCTGAGAGCAGAAACTGTGTGTATTTGTTTGTTCACTCATTGAGAAAATGCTAGTATCAGCCTTATGCCAGCGTCTGTGCTAGGAGCTGCTGGGGGTGGCTGTTTGTGGGAAACAGGAAGAGCAGGCTCTATCAGGAAGCAGCGATGTGTAGGGGGGTAACTGTGGGCAGTTGAGTTGGATTGGGGCCAGGGGAAGCAGCCTGTACAAAGAAGACAAGTACCAGAACACAGCTGAGTGTGGAGGCTCTGCGTCGGAGAGACATCGGGAAGCTGTCCGTCAAGGTGTCTAAACTGGGGGAGTGTTCCAATGAAAAGAGCTTTAAGGAGCTAAGACCAGGTCAGCAGGATGTGCCATAGATGAAAGAAAGAAGAAGCGCTATGGAGACTGATGGAAAACTCAGGCAGAGAGGCTGAGAGCCTGGATAAGGGTGGGAATCAGAGTGGAAGAAGGACCAAAGAAGAGAGGCATTTCTGGGAACATCCACAGCGACTCAGCTAATCAGGACAAAGGGCTGAGAGGCCAATGCATCCAAGAGCAGATAGCCAGCAGGAGGGTAAGAAGGAGCTTGGGCCAAGGATGGAGACCTAGAGGACGGACGGTGGTCGGCAGCCAGGTTGAGGTGGAGGGTCTGGTGAACCATCAAAACGGAGAAGTCTGGGAGACAGCTCTGTGCACACACACACCTTCGCAGCCTGGGCCTCTCCTGTAAAGGACTCAGAGTGGCTTTGCTTCCCCAGGAAGAAGCCCACTCTCTCCAAAAGCACTTCCTGAGCCATGTCGACATCACTGAATGTTGGGCAGCACACAGCACAGCTAACTCTTCTTCCCAAAGTCCCCTTGGCCCTGCCCACAGGGGCCCCTCGTCTGCTCCGTCTGCTTAGTAGTGGCCCCCCCAAGCAAGTTGCCTCCTGACTCCAGCTAAAATTTCCCTCAGCCACCAGCCTTCTTGGATGTGGTTCTATCCCATCTTCTTCTAAATGTATACCCAAACCCAGCCCCTTCAGAAGACAGCAGAGATGATACTTCTCAACAACAAAATCTTCTCTTGGAGTGTTGTTGGAGTCACTGGAGGGAGGACCTTGTCACCATTCACATTTCATTCATGCGTTCATTCAGCAAACCTGCATTCAGCACCTGCCCTGGTTAGAGTGCAGAGGGGAAAGGGAGAGGAACAAATTCAGGCCCTGCCCTGAGGAGGGAGGTGAGCCGGCCGTGGACACACACAGGTCAGTCCAAGGCAGAAAGCCCAGAACCGAGAGAGATGCAAGCATGGTGATGAGGGAGTCCCGAGGCAGAAAAGCAGAAGCCCTGTCAGCCAGCCAAGCTCAGGGAAACAGCATCTGAGCTAGGCTTAGAAGACCTAGAGAGACAGATTGGCAGTTGGGGGAGTGGTGGCAGCCAGGCAAGTTTTGCTCTCTGAAGCCCCCAATCCAGAAAAGGAGAACTCGAGGCAGCCAGGAAAAGAAAGTCACTGCTGGTTTTCAGACGTGCCCTTGAGAGACACTTGGGATAGCGCACCTGTCCTGGCTGCTGCCCCAGCAGGACCTGTGGGTGACCACGTCTCCTCTCCTCTGCAGACTGTGAAAGGAGGGTTTTCTGAGACAAGAATCGAGAAGCGAATCATCATTACGGGGGACGAAGATGTCGACCAAGATCAGGTATGGCCATAGGGAGTGGGATTCCCCACGCCACTGCCCGCTCCCCAACTTCCCGGGTTATCCATCATGGCTGCCTTTCAGGCAAAGAGAATAGCCGCTCTTCCCTGCTGATCTTGCCTCACAAGGAGCTCCCCGGGAGGAAAGGACATTGGACGGGAGCTAGAGGGTGCAAGATAACCTGAGCTCTAGGCTCTCCCTTTAACTTGATTTAACTACCGTCCCTCCCTGGGCCTCAGGTTCCCCAGCTGTGTACTAAGGGGCTTGGGTCGGCTGGTCTCCATGCCTCTGTATATCCAGTATTTCCTGGTTCCTCAGTCTGACTTTCTTTTTCAGGCTCTGGCTTTAGCCATCAAGGAGGCCAAACTCCAGCATCCTGACATGCTGGTAACCAAAGCTGTTGTATACAGAGAAACAGACCCCTCCCCAGAGGAGAGGGACAAGAAGCCACAGGTAAGGCTTATGAGAAGCTCAGCGCCCACAACAGAGAGCTCGGCATGGTGGCGGTCTCCTGGGAGGTCCTTTCTTTCTGAGACCTCAAGTGGCTTCGTTCCTCTCTCAGGTTTGACACTCGCCCTGACTTCCCAGATGTGGTTCAAAGAGTAAGGACACTCACTACCATCTACTTGACGCTGACTCACAGGGACCCTATAGGACAGGGTAGAACTCCCCTGTGGGTTTCCAAGCCTGTAACTGTTTACGGGCACAGAAAGCCCACCTTTCTCTCCAAATATGACAAGTCAGAGTGGAAGGAAGACAAGCAGGATGAGATGGTGTGCCCCTGGATTGGGTTTCCATGTGAATCGAGGGAGGGCTTATTCTGACCCAGCGGTTCTCAACCTGTGGGTCACGACCCTTTTGGGGGTCGAACGACCCTTTCACAGGGGTTACCCGATTCATAACAGTAGCAAAATGACAGTGATGAGGTAGCAATGACAATAATGTTGTGGTTGGGGGGTCACCACCACATGAGGAACTATGTTAAAGGGTTTTGGCATGAGGAAGGTTGAGAACCACTGCTCTAATCCCTCTAGGAATGAATGGATTTTGTCAGACCTGTCAAACAAACAAACAAACAAATGAATGAATCTCCTAGACCTTGTATTGAGTGAAACAGTCAGTTATGAAAGAGTACACTGATTCCATTCAGAGGACATTCAAACACAGGCAAGTCATCAACAAGGAGAAAAGCCTGAACTATGGTTATTTCTGGGGTCTAGTATTGATATGGAAAGAGACCCAAGGGACCCTGCTGGGATGCTGGGGAAAGTTTTGTATTGTAACTGGGGTGGTGGCTAGAGGTGTGCACTTCACATGTGTCACACTACACAGAAAAAGTCCTTGTCAGAGCCCCCTCCCCAGCGCGCACGCACACGCGCGCACGCACACACACACACACACACACAAATCTCCACCCTGCCCTCTTCCTTGAATGGGAACCAAGTGTTTTAATGGTGTTCCTCCCTTTGAATCCTTAAC